TTGTGACAATAGTATTGTCCATCTAATTCGTACTCTTGACAAAAATCTTTGATAAGATCTTCTAATAACACATGCTTTCGATTATCAAACTTGAACATCAAAATTTACTATCCAATAATGATACATATCACCTATATGCTATATCCATGCATTGTGGAAGTCTTGTTGGTGGACACTATACAACAATGGTGCGAAATTATAGAATAAATAAATGGTATCGTTTCGATGATAGTTATTTGGAAGAAATAGACTCAAAAAAAGTACTTGTTCCATTTATTGCACAAAAAGCATATATACTTATTTATTTAAAACAGAAAGATTGATAGATTAGTGATCATTTAATAGTCATATAATTCTATTTGATATTCATTTTGAATGGAGATTTCAGATAAATTGCATCTACAAGAATTGGCTTTGGAAAATTATGAAAACAAATATGATAAGGTTGACATAAAAAATACAAATGCACACAATGTAAAACTTTGCATACTAATGTCACCTTCTACAATCTTCTATCAGTGGAATGATTGGGGTAAGTCTATTATTTATATGTTCTAAGTTTTTCCAGCAAAATTATATTGAATATAGATTTACGTATTCTTCGTTTCTTTATGGAACAGTTACCTGAAGAACCAATAGAGAAATCTTCAGATAATCTATCGACACCATCAATGAATATAGATCCAAAACAATCATCGTACACTTCTACAATACCAAATATAATGCTGATAAACGATTCCGTTCTTCTTATTTTTATCCGCTATCTTCAATTAATTAATCTCATTCCATGGTCATCACCCATGTCTATTTGTGAACAGTCGATTAAAATACCTAAACATGATGAAATAGGTAGTTTATCCCATAATACTTCTGAATGTAAAAGGTCTAAAAAGAAACGTGAAGAGTTACCCATCAGACCTGGCTTATGTGGTTTGATCAACATTGGTAATACATGTTTTATGAATAGTGCAATCCAGTGTTTAAGTAATATACCTAAACTAACTGAATGGGCTAAAAAACAACAGTTATTCAATCATAAAAAAAGCGTTACTCAAGCCTACACTTAATTGATTAAATCAATGTGGTCAGGTAAAAATGCATGTGTAACTCCTTACGATATCAAAAAATATGTTAGTCAGCATGCTCCAATCTTTTCTGATTATGCTCAAAAAGATTCTCATGAATTTATGAATTGTCTTCTTAATGCACTTCATTCTGAGTTCATAGAAAATAACGTGTCATCAAATGAACAATCATCTATTGTTACCAAACTTTTTTCTATCAATACTCAATCTAAAGTAACCTGTTTACACTGTAATATGCATGATTCACTTGAAGAGATAACTTATTGCCTTTCATTACCTCTTGAAAATGAATCAACAGTAACTCTTCAAACATTATTAGATGATTTTTTGAAAGAAGAACAACTCGAAGGACAATATTATTGTTCACATTGTCAAGATCTTCGATTAGC